TCAAAGCCTTGCTGCAGAAAAAGCCACTTAGCCTTTGGGGAACTAACACACACACACTATGTTCAATAAGCAGCTTTCCATTAAACTCAGTTTTCACTTGCTAAACTGACATTTTTAGGTGACAACAGCTTATTTTATGTGCCATATTATTGTGTTTGCAAGTCAACATGTCTCTCCACTCAACAAGGACACACACCAACATGTGTTGAGCAGCCTCAGTGTTTCATTAGTCAGAAATCACAGCATGTTGGCTGCAGGATTGAAAAGCTAATGGCTCTCTGGAAAAGACACTTGGCTTGCACACGAGATACAAAGGATAAAAATGATTAACTTGTACTTTTTGAGAGTTTACGTGTAAACAGATTGTGTATATTGGTAACTATCGGGTTGTTCACAATGCATCAGATTGCATACACAGATATATAGACATTTATATAGACTCTTCTTGCACTATTTCAATTGTATTTGTATTTACTTGCAACACTATTTTATCTAGCCCGCGAACCATTTTTATTTTTTTTAACAATGACGGAAAAATCTGAAAGCAGTCCGTCATTTCGACAGATTAGAACAAACTCGGAACAGCGCCAAAGCTTCCCCGCAGCGAGAATCAGGTGTTATGCCGTGTTATGCATGCCCGCCAAAAAGGAAATGATATCGTTTCCAAACCTAACTTTGCCGTAAAATCATTGAAATGTCTGCAAGTTTTTGCTTTACGCTGTGCGCACTCCCGCGAAGTGCAGTGGGCATGCAAAACACGGCGCTAACAACTCACGAGCGTGCGCCCCCCCCCCCCCCGTTGACAGTTCACGAGCGTGCTCCCCCCCCGCCGGTTGACAGTTCACAAGCGTGCTCTCCCCCCGCCGGTTGACAGTTCACAAGCGTGCTCTCCCCCCGCCGGTTGACAGTTCACAAGCGTGCTCTCTCTCTACCCCCCCCCTCGTCAGAGTTGTGTAAAGGCCGACGGGTAATACTGGATTTTGACGGACATTTTACGATCATGTCCGTCAAAAGGACGGGCTGCGAAAAAGTCTAGCGCATGCTCTGCTCAGGACAGACTTGTGAGTGGAAAGCTTGACTCCTATTCTCTTGGTTATCAGCCACGAGGCTTCCTGCCATCGACACAAAGCCAGCACCTCATCCATCTCTGGATCAGACGCTTTGGCCACATCAAAAAGCAGATTCAGCTCAGAAAACAGGTAGGAAACCACGGAGAGAGAGCCAGAGACGTGGAGCAGGAGTTATGTAATCGTTAATGCTGCCAGTAAAGAGAGACCCTCACAGTTCATCTTCTCTCTCAGATCTGTTCTGTCTCCACCACACGTCCACAGGCTGCTCTCAGATCAGCTGTTAGGAGTAAATCCTTCCTCCAGGTCAGGGACATATTGGTTTTTCTCTCTCCTGCTAAATATCTGCAGATCATCACCATGCAGATCATCGTTCCTGCAGAGAGAGAGCAGCAGGAGATCTGATCTGAGGTCAGGACATGAGAGAGCTGCAGATTCACAGAGCTCAAGATCACTGTATTTCTCCTATTTATATCAATGTGCAGCCTTTAAAATAAACATTAAAACAGGTTAAAAAATAAAGGACACAGCAGTTTAATTAATAACAAATAAAAATAAAATAATAATATTCATAGAAATCAAAATAATCTGAATTTTTTATAAATAAAATAGACAAAATAGAGTTAATAGGATCCCTTCAATACCAGCTCACATAATGTAATAATAATATAATAATAATAACAAAAAAGAGAGTAAACAGGACCCCTACAATACCACTACACATAAATATAATATTAAATAAATAAATACAATAATAATAAAGAAATAATAAAGAAAAACATATAAAGAAATACTTCAATACCATTTCAAATACATTACAAATAATATTTAAAATAATACTCAAAGATCAGATAAAAAAACGAAGTTACAGTAATCCCTTAAAGGGGACCTATCATGCAAAAGTCACTTTTTGATGTCTTTATGTGTCCCCGGTGTGTCCCCGGTGTGTCAGGGAACTCACGCAGCGTCAGAAAATAAAACCCTCTCTCTTTTCCTCCGTACCCAAATCTCTAAAAACGGGTTGATCGGAGCTGATCCAGATTTGCGTCCGATATGACGTCATATCTGAAATGTGGACCCACGGCACTATCAGAAACGTTGCTATCAGAAACAATGCCCGACTGTTTTGGACGTAATATGGTCTTTGTTTACATTAGCATCGCTAACACTCAGAGCTAACCTGTACTGGAGAGCATGTGTGTGAAGAAGCAGGAAATAAAAAGGAACTCACCTTGTGGTATAACCGGCAAGAGAGAAAGCCTTTGAGCTCCATACTGTTTCAGAAATAATCCTTGATAATCCATGATATGGCGTTTCATCACGGCAGTATTTAGTTTAGACAGTAGCTGCCGGGTCCCGCACGAGCTCAGACCCCTCCTTATTTATTTTGTATACATTTTCTTTTAAAGCTTGAGACCCCAAATCAGCACTTT